CGTACTTCTTTTCTTTCTTGTTTTTTACTCACCTGGAGTGAGGAATCTATACATATTACATTTAGTATATTTAGCACCTGTCACAGTAAGTATGTGCAGTTCCTGAAGCTTCTTTAGAAAGCTATTTTCAAATCATCAAGTAGCAAATAGGATGATCTGAACAACACTGTGTAGCTTTTACTGTGCTGCACTTTTCTCCCTCTATCCAGGTCAGTATGCACTTTTCCCTTGCTAGATATTTTAAAATGTGCTATAAATAAACATCTTTGATTGATTCAATGTACTACTGAGGTCTTCTAAAAAATACTGCATTTTGAGATTTCTCTGCTTCTTCTCTAGTCAAGTAATCACTAATACTTCACACATCAGCATTCTTTTCTTACTTTGACAGCTCAACAGGACACAGCTGTACTTATCCTTCTCCCATTTTCCAGTTGGTATGTTTAAACCGGATGCTGAGAATTCTCCAAAAATCCTGCTTGGAATTTGGATTCTCTCATTGGCCTTAACTCCCAGGTCTTTAGCTAGCTTCTTCTATACTATGCTTGCCCTGCTTCAGCGCTCAACCTTGTAGTTTGGTCCTCAGCATCCACTTGTGCAAACAGCTGTCTTAGCATCATTTCCTCAGATGCTTTCGAAACAAGCTGTGATGTTATCTAGAAATGCAAATGGCCTCTTGCAGCTTAATCCCGACCTTCTCTCAGAAATCCTGTCCCTATTATATTTCAGAACACCATTTAATGCATCCATCCTGACTTCTGGAATATATTCTGTATTCCAAGAATGTTGCTGAAGAACCTCCTTAAATTCTGTCTCCTCAGAGAGCAGATCAATGTGAATGCTTTATGCCAGAGGCAAGGTTTGTAGGAAAGTAATATTTTTTATTAGATTAACTGATATATTTAGAAAAAATGTTTTATGTTAGCATTTCTTAGTGCTTGAAAAAAGTGTTAAATTCTTTATGCCAGTCCTTTTTTCCCCTCCCAATTTTGCCTTTCAGCAAGTGTTCTAAAGCTACTTGCTTTGTCAAAGGAAACATGCTTCTAGGTAGACAAGAAGAAATTTCAAAAAAGACTTTTCTTGTGTCCCTTAGTCCCCCAGAGATATGCAGAGACAGAGAAACTACCATCAGCGCACGCTATCTCTAGCACAGCATTAGAACTGATAAATAGCTGGACTGTCCCGTTGGACAGTTACAGAACTTTGCTACTGAGCTTCAGGAAACATCTAGACAGTGACATCTTTGCACTAGCTTTCCCCAGCACTTCAATTGGAAAAGCAAAAGCTGCAATTCCATCTGGTTTTACAGCAACATGCTGAGAGTCAACTGATTATCAAATTTACCCAGCCTTTTTTCTGCGAATGACTTTTTTCCTGCACTTCAAATGTCAACGTTTATTTAGACTGAAGATCTTTCTCTCGTTTTCTGTCTTTGGTAAGAATCCAGTTCAGACAGTAAGAAGTGAGGAGTTTTTTCCTAGAAATGAGACCTACCTTTCCATCAAGCTCCACATGAATCTCAAGACATACATGAAGGGCAAAGTATAGATGTTTCCCTCTAGCACAGAAACACAAAAATGGTATTGTTCCCCTCATTTTGAAAGCTTTGAACATCTAGTAAATACCAGAAAGACTAGAGATTCTCAAAAAGGAAAAATTCTTTTCCAGCTTCTGAGATGACAACATCTCAGTGAGCATCAATGACAATCTTTTCACCAATAAAAAAATGTATTAGTGTTTATAGGGACTTACTGTTTCCCATAAACCACAGAGATTTATAGCTTCAGTCCTTTTGAAAGAGTTCTTCCTTTCAACAGGAGCTCCAATACAGTAAAGCTTACACAAACTACCAGTGAATACCTTCAGTGTACTGAAGGGAGACTATCTTTTGTCCTTCACTACGTCAGTTTAAAATGAAAGTTGTTTTAAATCTTATGTCTTTGGGGTATACCTTAGTAAGTATCATATTTTTTTTTCCTATTATATCAATTACTTTTACTTCTTACATAGGACTTTGCTTAAACAGGGCAGAAATACAATAAGTGAGAAATACAATAATAAATGGGTCAATATATTTTTTTAATAAAAGTGTCATTCTCTTCCAATTTCTCCTGCTGCACTTGACAATTCCAGCCCTACTTTGATAGGACCCACTCATCCCACAATGAAGCATTATAAAAGATGGGTCTCTGTGCTTCAGAGTCCTACAGCCAGGCTTATTTCTGCTCCACAAATCAAGCAGCCCATACTGATATTTGTCATGGTAATTCCTTTCCCTAGCCTGGCTGCAGCAGTTTGCTCATCATCTGGCGAAGCCTTTTATTTCTATTTAAAAAGCGACCCACTTCGCCCATCAATTAAAGATGTCTTCAGAGTAAAAGGAGGAAACCACTATACAGACCACCTCTTCAAGGACAGCCCAGCCTGACCAGGCTTGGTTTTGAAAACCCCAAACAAATGGCTGAGGCTTCTCCCTCAAGATGGGACTTCACTAATGGTTCTAAAGATAGTGAAGAAGGTACTTTAAATAAGACAGTGGATAAGCTCAGGCTAAAGAAGTAGCACAATTCTAGCTGCCTTTTCTTGCTTTAATTCTCTTTTTTTAAAAGCACTGCCATCATTATTTTATATGCTAGTGTCTGTCAAGCTGGATCATCTAGAAGGCTGAACTTTTCACAGCCAATTTGTCATGCACTTGCCAGTTGTTTCATGCTGATAGAAAAAGCATTTTCACAATCAAAGTGCTATCATTGTTTTTTCTCTTCCCCTATGATTTACTGAGATGATGGTAGTGCCTGCAGCTGCCAATAGGCCTGCTGCCGACTGAAAATCCATTTAAGACAGGCTGTAAGCCAACTCATAAATACAGTACCAGAAAATCCCTGGGAAGCATGGCTTTCCTTGTTCTAATGCTGCTTTAGCCATAACTGTATGGAAAATACCTCCAAAATCTCACTGTTGTCTCAGCAAAGTCTTATTTAAGAAATTACAGTTTGGGTGGAGCCATAGGATCACCCCATTCCCCAAACCATTACCCTACACTCACAACCACCTTCCTGTTGCTGTGTCTACATCCCCCTTGGCGGCAAGCTCACAAGCACAGAGTAAGCCACCAAAAGTGGTAGGGAAGGTTCTCACTCCAGCTGCTGTCCAATAGTCTCTTCTCCACTCGCCAAAACATCCAGGGAGCAGCATTTATTATATTTCTTCTTATCTCTCTGTGGGATTAGGTGTTGGAGATGCATGGATGGGCAGTGCATTTCCCAGTCCTAGCAGGCTGGTGGGGAGACATACCCAGAGGCAATTGGGTCTCGGAGTCTGACAGTGACGCTGAAGGAGTGGGAAGAAGGACAGGCTAACCAAAGTGAGGTGCAGCTCCTATCAGCTAGGGACAGAAAAGAGGGAAGACCTACCATTATTTTGCAGGCAGGCATGCTCAGCCTTCTCCTGGGAGAAGCCGGGTAGTGACCACGAGGCAGGACCAGGCATGGTTACCTGAGTGAGGGACTCCCCTTACCTAGAGCTGCTTTTCCTACAGCCTTGGTTCTGGGCAGTGCTATGACATAGGTCCAATGCTGTGAGCACAGCTGTTTCCTGAAAGCAGTGTTACTGTTAAGGAGGAACAAAAGCACTGCTGCAAAAAGCTGCACTCCAAATATATGCTCACCAGCAGTTAGGAAGTGACATAAATGTTCAACAATGTTAACCCATCAATTCTCCTCGCTGAGATGGAAGTCCGTGCCTCTAAACTGTCTTGGAAATTCTCAACTGCAGTGAGCACATAGAAAAAGGAGTTGGAAAAGCTGAGCAAACATCTAAAAAAATCTTTAAGGCTTAGAAATTTGTGGTGATTTTCTGCTTTGGTGTAGGTCTAAAATAAAGCTGAAACACCAAGGAGAAACATAAAACCTGTACAATCTGTGGATTTTTTCCTTAATGTAATTTTTGATATTTTAATATCATCAGTATTACATGAAATGGCATTAATAGGCTTGATTGGTGTATGACCTAATTGAATTAGTTAACTATGACAAAACCATAGTTTTGGAGGAAGAAACTGAGACAGACTGGTAGGTTAATCTATGTTGCCCTGATGGCTCTAATGTCGGCTCCTGGATATCTCTTACAGCTCAGTAAAGAGGTTTGCAGTTTCAAATGGAGAATATAGCATTACTTGGACGCCTTTCCAAAGCAGTTGGAGATGTATGAGTAAAAACAGGAGAACAATGGCTAAATCAGGATAGCTCAAGCACCTGGAGCTGTGAGATGGATGCCATTTTTGAGGCACCTTATTGAGCCATTTTCTAAAGGTGTTAACCTTCTCGCAGAATGGCATGATAGCAGCTAAGAGCCTGGGCATGCTCAGGGCATGTTTGAAAGACTTTTGTGCTGCCAGAAATTATTGTTTCCTTTTGCCTTCAATTCTGTCTACAAGACCACAGTAGGAAGAATAGTTGAGCCAGAAATAGAATTGTCCTATAGGCAAAATTCAGCCTCCATGGCAACAGTCAGACCACTCTTGGATAAATCTGTCATTCAGCTAAATCTTCCATTTATTTCATCAGAGTTTTGCTTTAATTGCAACCAAATTACACGTATTTAAGCTTTACTGCCTTTCTGCAAGGTGGGAAGAACAATACGTTAATTCATTTTAGCACAGACATTAAACTGAGCTGCCGTAAGCTAAGAGAAGCCCTGAACAGTAACAGAGAAAAGGCCTCAGTGCCAACAGATTGAAAAACAATTAAAAAACCCCCGCAGAATATAACTATCTACATAGACACTACATACTGCATTTATGTTTTTATTTTAATGAAAAGTATTATCACATAAAAAACTGATTTCAACCACTTCCATCTTCCTTTTGCGGAAACAGAAAAGAATCAAGTCTATACTGTTTTTCTCAGTGTCTGAAAAAAAAATGTGCTGTAAATTACAAAGCCCTATGTTGCATCACAAGCTTTAAGAAGAAGATTGTGCAATTACTTAACATCAAGACAAAAACTTACCCCACACTGCCATGAAAACAGCAAAAAAGACGGTAGCTCCGTTGTCAAAAAGGTGTGTTACCTGAGGGATATATTAATAGTGTGATCAATTTATGATAATAAGGCTTTATTTTCCATTTTCACCTAATAAAATTAATGTGATCATGAGCACTGCTGGCCTGACAATCCTGAAGATCCTTCCCTTGACGTGTGAAATGTACCTGTCAATTGACAGGACTATCTGCCAGCCTGGCCTGGGACTGACCCGTGCCAACACCAGGTGTGAGCATCATTTCAGACCCAAAGCATTCATTTTATGAAGCCATGTACAAAGGATGGACCATACAATACATGTTGATGCCAAGGACACTGTAACACATACATCTGAAATGGATCTGTTGGAGTGGGTCCAGAGGAGGGCCACAAAAATGATCAGAAGAATGGAACGCCCCTCCTATGAGGAAAGGCTGAGAGTTGGGGTTGTTCAGCCTGGAGAAGAGAAGGCTCTGGGGAGACCTTATTGCTGTCTTTCAGTACTTAAAGGGGGCTTATAAGAAAGATGGGGACAAACTTTTTAGCAGGGCCTGTTGCGACAGGGCAAGGGGTAATGGTTTTAAACTAGAAGAGGGTAGATTTAGACTAGATATAAGGAAGGCATTTTTTACGATGAGGGTGGAGAAACCCTGGCCCAGGTTGCCCACAGAGGCTGTAGATGCCCCATCACTGGAAACATTCAAGATCAGGTTGGAGGGGGTCTGAGCAACCTGATCTAGTTGAAGATGTCCCTGCTCATTGCAGGGGGGTTGGACTAGATGACCTTCAAAGGACTGTTCCAACCCAAACTATTCTATGGTTCTATTCTGTTCTATGATCTAGGACATGACCTCTGGGGCTGCTGAATCTCTAAGTGCAAATTGCAAAGTGTTTTACAACCCAAAGTAAGTCCCGGTAAAAGGCAACGAATGTTAATATTGGCTGAACTTGATCTGTCCTTTGAAGATTTTACCTACTCGAGCTCACTAAAGACAAATGCAAAAGGCAAAATTAATGCTTTTACTAAGAAAACATTCCTATTTGCATAGTTTAAAATGTACCTTGGCATAAACGCAGCTGTCTGACAATCTCATGAAGGGACAGTATTTATCACATATAGGACACATTATGATATCTGTAGCTTGGCAGACTTCTTTACTGGAAAAATAGAAAAGATAGAAATTAATAGTCTGATGCACAACAATCAGTCTTAAAATGGATTGATAAATTTCACTAATATTTAGTTACTTATTGAAAATTACTGGTTCTGTAACTGAAGCCAAGTTGTTCATAACTGCATGTGTATAATTAATATTTGTTGACTGTGTCAGACTTCAGAGTTTACTGTTATAACTGCAGAGGACAGCTCTTCAGGGCCAGCCTAGCAGTAGGTCTTTACCATTTCCAGCTTCTCCTTGAGTCAGAAGTGAGCTTAGGTAGGAAGAGGGTGAGGATGATTGCAGATAATGTTAAGTTTGACTTGTTCTTGTGAATTAAGTGGGCAAGAATGTAGAGGTGCAGTCCTCAGCAGAAGGCCCAAGGGGTTCTTCATCTGAAGAATGTCTCCCTGTGGTGGATCTTTGGGAAAGGCCTTGAAGAGAGTGAAAATTTCCCACTCTTCTCCTGCCCTGTTACAAGAGTAATGAAGGAGCCCTACTTTTTCCCTACTTCATACTGAGTTGCCAGCACCATCAGCAACTGGAGCTGGGCGAGAAACATTGCCTCCCATCCCAATTCAGGAGCACAAAACAAGGGACGCTCGATACTGGGTACCTTATGCAGCGCTGTCTCTTCCTGAGTATTCATTCAAAACAGTTCAAAATTAAGTAATTAACAATTCATATGAAGATCTCTTAAATTATTCATAATAACCCACAGCTGTAATTTCCCTTATTAAAGTGCCCACGTTACCTGACTTGGCAGTGGTTCAAAGTGGTGACTCCATACAAAAAGACAAACAATCCAATGAAGGCAGCTGGGAAGAGCATCCCCGTGTACCAGCCTAACCAGGCAAAGTACAGCCCAATTTTCTCACCAAAGTACCGTCTGTTTTAAAACACAACACAGTGAAGTTACCCACTAATTAGCATAAATCTGCTTAATCTTGCTTGTCAATAGAAAATAAATATTTCTATTATATCTGAAGAGTAGATTAGAGAGCAGAGGCAGAATTTCCTGAAGAATAAGCCTGCAATTAGGCTTCTAAATCCACACTGAGGGACATGCCTCATGAATGACCTTAAAAAATGAATATGAAAATTCACTAACCACAGCTTACGGTGAGATGAGTGGAGATCTGAGAAAGGAAACACCAAGTTCATTTAAAAAAGCTAGTTATTTGTGTTTGGGAAAGTGATGGCTTCCTTTGCCTTTTGGCTGTGTTACTGTACTTCCCAAATAATTGCACTGAGATCAGTTTCATCCTCAAAACTGGTATAACAGCAAAAATTATTTGGGCCCAAATTATTTCTAAGAAATTAATTAACCAGGGGTTATTCTCCAATCCAGTTTATTTTCATTTGATTATTTATTTTCTTAGCTCAATTCCTGGAAAACTAATTTCATGATTCTACCACAGGTGGAAAATAAAGTGCAAGGGAGGTCCAACAAGTATCTTTGTGTATCATCTTGTACTAATTTGAGGCAAGTAGTCTGAGTTAATCCTCATTTGTTAGCTATATTGCCTAAAACTAACAGCAAAGTGGCCAGGAAGCTCATATTTACTACATATTCATTAGCATTCTTCCTCCTCCCAAACACAACTAAACCTTTATTTATGTGTCAAAGAATACATCAAACACACAAAAAGCATGCTGAACTCATCAGCATAGGAGCAGGCTGCATGCATTGTCTTGGTTTTGATGGTCTTGTGCACAGTAGGCTGATGATAAGATTAGGATGCTTTAAAAATCAATATGCAATTATCATGATTACAATGAAGATTTTACGAGATTATTCACAAGATTCACAGAATCACAGAATCACAGAATCACAGAATTTCAGAGTTGGAAGGGACCTCTAGAGATCATCTAGTCCCACTCCGCTGCTAAAGCAGGATTGCCTAGAGCACATTACTCAGGACTGCATCCAGGCGGGTTTTGAAAATCTCCAGAGAAGGAGACTCCACAACCTCCCTGGGCAGCCTGTGCCAGTGTTCTGTCACCCGAACTGTAAAGAAGTTTTTCCGTGTGTTGGAACGGAACTTCCTATGTTCCAACTTGTGCCCATTGCCCCTCGTCCTGTCACTGGGAACCACCGAGAAGAGTGTGGCTCCATCCTCCTTCAACCCACCCTTTAGATATTTGTAAGTGGGTGTTCGTTTTAAAGTTCATTTTAAAGAAGGAGGCAAGATGATATTCTTGCACTTCAGAGACTTTGCAGACAAGTTAAACTTGCATATCAACTGAATTGGAGAATAACTGCTGATGAAAACCCACTTTTACGCTGATGATGAAACTTCTGATCTGTCCAGAGACAAAGAATTCAGTGAGCCAGCGCTGCTGGCTCCTTTAGGCTACCAGAAAACATCTTTGGTCAGACTTTCACAGTGAGGAGGAAAAGACCCATGATGGGCTCTAGGTCTGGAGACAGTGGAGAAGAGAAAGAAACACTTGGTTTGGAATGGACAGTTTTCCTAAGGATATAAAAAATTTCCAGCATGAGTAATATCTGCCTGGGCTGAGCTCAGGCTCTGCTGAATGATACTGACCTACGCTGATTATTAGCATTTGAGTTTACCAGCACTGTATGAGAAGCCAAATATTGTCATGTTGTTTGTATTCTTTCCTCTTTCAACAGAGACTCAAATTTACAGGCTAAACAGGTGGGAAGCCAATGACAACACGCTCAGTTCCTACGAGGGCAGCAGGTCTAGTTGTAAAAAGACACACTGGAAAGCGCTTTTTGAGCTCCGATTTAAAAATGTTAGCGAACCCTTTGGCCAAATTATTTACCTGACACCTAGGATGTCAAGCTGTGCCTGCTCCACTGAAAAAGAAAGCTCACATTCTGAGCTTACTTCCACTGATTATTTATGGACCTATTTATCTCCATGTATGTAGTTCAAAGTAGTGAAGTAAGCCTAACATTCACCAAGATTTATTTTTTTATTTCATTCCCTACATTCAACGATGACTGTTTCCTCATTCCAACCCCCCCAGCTGACATTCATGACAAACTTCATCTCCTATCCTGTTAAGCTTTTCCATCTAACAATGCAAATCACAGTACTCCTTTTTTGATCTAGAGATCAAGCAAAGAGCTTCATCCTAGATGAAGACCCAGGCAAGGTTCAGTGTCTGCATAAAGAAGAATGGACATGATGCGGAGCAACTCAAACCTCTCCAATGTAAGGAAAAGGCATTTGAGGCCATTTGTGGGTCTGGTTTTAAAAATAAGTGCCGCATATGTGCATTATTTTGACACTTACTGGTTTAAACATGGACAAACAGCCTCGATCTTCCACTATCTGTGAAGCCCTGGGCTTCACAGCTGGTATTCCACAGACTGTACTACTGTAATTTGCATCAGGATCAAATTAATATTTAATTTCTTTTGGCCCTGTAGTTAGCATATTTTTTGTAAGTCTGTGCTCAGATACCATTAGGTTAAGTGCTATAGAAAGAAAATATGGCAGTAACAAGGTCTTTGGAGACCTTCCTAGGTGCTGTATTCAGAGCAGTTTCACATTTATTCCAACCTATAATTGGGTTAGCCTGGATCACCATCATCCTCAGGAGATTAAGATGTTTAGAGATACCTTTGCCACTCTCTCCCTTCAAGTTGCACAAATACGAGGAACGAGCTCTTTGTTTCTCCTCTGTCACTATATAAAGGACAGAAATTTCATATAGTTCTGCACAGTGATGGCAGTTCCCTTACCTGCATGCTGGTATTTTACCCACAAGTCAGTAATGTACATGAAGGACTCCAGGGATTTTTTTTCTAGGATGCATCACTGTGCATTACTACACCTAAATTTCAACAATCTACTCAGTGAAGGCGTCTTTGACATTTTCTAGCTTTGATACATTTGCATTTTTGTTAACTTTGGTAGCTTATTACCATTCAATTTTTCAGACTGTTAACAAGAATAGAAAAAATGTTGTGTATCTTTTATGGTTCTCTCACAGAAAATTTTCTCCACACCTAACCTAAAAAGCAGAGACATAAAAAAAACCCCAAGCACCTAACGGAATAATCCATCTCTCCTATCCTCATATATGCTGTACCATTAGAATAGTAATAAAAAATAATTTCAGCTTCTCGGGTTTATACTAGCATATATACTAGCCCTCCAATATCACTTACCCTAACGGTGAACTGTCTCTCCCCTCACCCCGTTCCGGTGGTAGAACTATCACTGACTTAACTGGGCCAAGATTTCAATCTCAGTATTTATCAATAAGGCACATTTTTGAAAAGTATTAAGCTACAAAGTCTGATTTCAGACCCATAAAATGCGATATTGGATTCCTCTGTGTTTAACGACCCTCATTATAAAATCTTTTGCTTTCAGGATACCTAGAAGGAAGTCATGGAGCGAGAATACAGACAGGTTTGGACTCAAGCCAAGAATCAATCTATTTTCATTAATCCTTTTGCAGGTCAAAAGGAAATCCTATACAGAACTTTTTACATCACAGAAAGAAGTTGTGAGGGAGCTAGAGCTTTCCAACAGGTGTTTTGGACACACAAAGCTCTCATCTTATGTCATGAGCAATGGGGTGGGGAGGAAGGTTTGACAGGAGATTGAAAGGGAGTTGTCAGCTGGCAATACAGTCATTGAATATAAATATTAATAAATAAAAAATATAAATTATTTATAGTCATAATTAATATAAATCATTTAATATAAACATGCAGTAAAATGCAAATTACTCAGGCATTCCTTTTGCTTTCAGGTTCATTTAGGTAGCTTTACAATCACTCTATACATATAGTTTTCTCCCTCTCTTTTTGTCCTGTAAATAAAATGCACAAGCAGCAGGAGGAGTAATTTATGCAGAACCTAGAGGAAAGCAGCTATGCACAGAAGTGTGAAGGAGGCGATCCAAAACTCCCAGGAATCACTGCAACTGTTCCCATTGACTTACGTGGTCCCAGAGCAAATAAATATATTAAGTCCTGCCTCTTTCCAACTGCTATCAATTCTAAGGATCTTAAATTATTCTTGTAAAGTAACTATGGACACTAAATTCCAACAGAAGTGTAATCAAAATCATGGTACCACATCTGTTCATTAATGAGTGCCTTTGCAATTTTGCCAAGTCTGCGCCTTCATACTGCCACGTGTTTCAAAGCAGAGTGAAAACAGGATCACGCAATTCCCCTCAAATGACTTTTTCTCATTTATTTCTAATGACTAGTATCTCCATAACCGCCAGCCGATGACATTAACTGAAATCTGGGAGGCACCAAATTGACAGCACCAGGGATGTAAGGCCTCATTTTAACAACTAAGGGAAAAAAACCCCAGCACCAAAGTATGAACAATTTTGCTTACCATAGTGGCAACTTGACTTTAAGGTGGAAATATATTATCTATTAATGAGGTAATTATAGTATCTGCATCTAATTTACTCCTTAGCCTTTCTAAGGCATATAGTAAAGGGGAATGTCAGCTAGCAGCAGTAAGTTCTGGCCAGACGTCTGTGGAAGCATGAACATCCATTCACTCCTTTTGTACAGATGGCAGCACTACTCCCTTTAAGCACACCCCACATAGCTGTTGGTATGGGAAAAAAATTAAAAAGTTGCTCCTGCTGCAGAACCGGTACTAAAAAAGCTTCTGTTTAAAGTATGCACACTGAGGTACTCCCGAGTGAAATGAACAACAGGTCTTGCTGGTGTTGTCAGCTCTTCAAGGAAAAATCTCCAGCTCACTAGACGTATGAGCTGCGGAGAGTGGCAGTAGACAGGAAAGATTTGGCAGGAGCTAGGGAAACGCAAGGGATCTAGCATCTGTGAAATGAGAAGAAAAGGCATCCCCCCCCTCCGCCCCCCCCAGCTTTCCTGCCACCCCTCCTTCAGTGAGTTCATTGCAGCCATGGGTGCGCTCCAGGGAGCAAATGGCAGGCTGGGCTGGGGCTGCAGCTTTGAACCCTGCAGAACTCCATGGCTACCGAGACTCATGCCACTGCAAATACTCAGGGAGCCTCACAGCTCCCCCTGCCCCCGTCCTCCTTGGGTAAACACCTAGTCTGAACCAACACAGGACACCCATGACCTCAGCTAGGGGTTCTGCTATTTTGACTGCTTTTTTTTCTTTGTAAACAGCTGTGGAAAAATCAGTGAATGTCACTGCCTGATAAAAAGCTAAAGCACCTTACAAAATCCTAAACATCAAACCTAGGCTACTCAAGAAGGCTTCTACCAAGTTCCAGAATAATCTCATGTCTAACCTTGCTCGTGCTGTTACCGTTTATTCTTATGCTTAAAAAAACCTTCCAGATGCCTGATGGTTCATATTCATAAACCAAATTAAACCAAAATGCAGATATTGGCTCAACAGCACTTCCACAAGCAAGAAATATTGGTGAAGAACAGTAGCCTTGACCACCATGGACAAATGATTAAAAAACATTATAAAGTTGTTTATACTGTGACATTAATATCTTATAGTATACTAGCACATTAAAAATAAAAAACTTCAGTATAACTGTTGGCTTCTCAGTAAATCAGCCATTTCCATAGTGTAATTTGAGAAAAATTCCATATTTCTGTCCAAGCCAGTGTATTAAAAAAGAAATAAGAAGCTTTCAGGATTAAATTATGAGGTACAAATACATTACTTAATTTTCTAAAGCATTTTAAAAATTACATGACTCGGTAAAACTTTTTTATTGTATTTCTCTGTGAACTTTTTCTCCGTGGAAATTGAACACCTCCTGTTTTATGAAATGGATAGGTTTTATATGGCCTTAATCAATAACACCGTCTATCTCCAGGGCCACCCACTACAAATCTTTCTATCTGGAAACAATTTTGAGAATCAATAAAACCCAAGGTTTCTATCAGTTAGAGGACTTATAAAAGGGGAAATTAATATGTTGGACCAATTGCATGCTCTGTATGACCCTTCGCAATGGCCAATGTATCAATATCTTCAGTGATCACAATACATCTTAAGACTATTAATAGGCCCTTGTAACTTCATATTTCTCTCTTCAAGTAGAAAAAGCCCATTAATGCCCAATAACTGTTCTTCCAACACGATCAGTAAAGGCTCTGTCTCTCTCTATATGCATAAAAAAGATGTAATCCTCTATTAGCACATGCAAGCTATTTGAAAACATTATTTAAAAGGGCTATAAGAATTTGGAGTCATGTCTCAGCTTTATCAGTGTGTCTTCTTTGCAGGCTACTTCCAAGATGAATACAAATCCAGACTGTGATGTGGCTGGGCTGAATTTAAGGGAGGTGGTACAGGAGAGAGTTCCACCCACGTACCACTAGTGCTGCAGAACACAGTTATCACATTCAGTGACTGTGAGCTCTGCTCCGTGCCATATGTAAGCACCATTGAACTTCGTCCAGGGCTCATTCTGTGGTTGCTTTTTGGAAAAAAAAAAAAAAAAAAAAAGATGATCTAATCCATGAGAGCCTGTTTTTCACCAAAGCCATGCTCTGAGGAGGCAGAGGAACTCCAGTGAATAGACATGCAACCCAGACTCCACAATATCTCTCTTCCTTTTTTTCACTCCTAAATATTCTGCAAACCCTTCATTAGAAGTTATACTGTCAAACTTCCTTCACTTTCAGCTCCTCCTACAAGCTCCTCTATAGATACTTCTTTGAATGTAGCAGCACCATAGATGAAATGGATTCCCATGACCTCAGGGTCAGTTTTTAAAAATCACATGGATTAACTCAGCTTTTCATGGTTTTGTCAGAAGATAGATAACCTATACTCAAAGCACCTACAATGTGACGTATTAAATGCAGGAAACTCTTACCTCACGAGGTCCAGTGGTTGGTACTTATACCACACTCCCCAGGAAGCCCAGCACTCATAGAGCAGGTGTCTGTGGTTTTCTGCCCCGTGTGTTCTTATTGAATTCTTACTTCTGTAACTTCCCTAAAATACAAATCTGGACATTACTGAACAACAGTAGCAAAAAGGACTATGTAAGAAATCTCTCTCACTAGTGGTATGGATAACACAATTTATGCACACTCCATACTTGTGCACCAAAAGCTAAATATGACATTAAAAGGACAGTTTCCTCTGACTTCAGTAAGATTTGAGATTATTATTCCCAAGAAATTTATGATAAATAGGGTTCAAGTCAAATGCTATGAATTGGAGAATCTGAAAGAGAAAAGCACAGCATGATACTTTTCCCCTCTGAAAACACACTGATTTGTCAAACCCAAATAATTTTTTACAGAACAGATCCAGAACAACTCTCCTTACTCAACTCTTTTTTCAAGAAAAAAAGCAATTATTTTTCCAAGGAAAAAGCATTACTAAATGGGAGGGATGTCAGAGGGGGACACAGAATGCAGAAGAGAGTAATAACATGAACAAGATTGAGAATAAATGATTACACAATGAAGAATTCATTTTGTGGTAAATGTCTGTTCAAAAAGAAAGAAAAAGACTGAGAAAAATACCTCATGAAGAGGAAATGCAGCTTCATAGGAGCCATTACTGAGCAATCGATTCAGACCTAAGAATCAAGAGTATCCAATTATTTAGCAATAGGACCACCAAAACTGCTAAGTAAAAAGCAAAACACATTTTCATAATAAGCTGAAGTTTGAAGCCTACTGACAGTAAAAGATACATGTAGAAAAATTTGTCTTTTATAGATTTTGATGAACTAAGATATAATACAGGCAGACTTCTTCAAATATTAATCATAATCTATCATTTATTATGCTAGGCGTTTAAAGATTCATTTGCCAAATCCATCTTCAGCGTAACTTCAGTGAAATCAGGAACCTCACACCAGGATTGAAGTTTGACCCCATAAATTACGGTCTGAGGAAGCTATTTAGGTGAAAGGCTGTACTTCTTGGGAACTGAAAACTTCAGGGAAGATCTTTACATTTTTGAACTGCGGGCCAGTAAAGCAACTGAAACTCTTAATTTCCATATAATAATAAGTTGTAAAATATGTTCAGTTTATGTCTTACAAAAGCTGCTATACTAACAGATAGAACAGGAACAAGACAGGCTGAAGTAGTACAAGAGCAGAAGATATACTTGAACCTGAACAGAAAGGATGGCTATCTGGCACAAAAAAGTAATCATACACTGAGTGGGACTCAGTCAGGCCTTGTCGCTCTTTAATGAGAACCTTGAAAGAAATAATGAATGAGTGCTGAGATGTGGGCACTTTTCACTTGGAAAGTCACCAAAATAGAACTGAACAACTATCAGGCATCGCAAAACTAAATACTGGCACTAACATCCTGAAGGCATTTGAATCCAATTGACCAAGAGGCAAAGAATCCTGATTCCTTTCCTAATTCACAGGGGAATGATAGCAGCAAGAACACAGCAATGAGAAGCATTGATTCAACATAAATAGCACTTTCAATGATTGCCTTAGTATCTGCTTGGCAGAACATGCTTTCTTCCGAAGTGTCTGGCAGAAAAGCAAAACCTATACAGCTCTGCCTAGTGATCAATGCAAGGTTGTGTTTGTGGTAGGTACAACACATATAGATATATGAGGGAGCTTGAGGCACGCAGGGACCGCAAGCGTGTTTGCTAAATGCAATGGCTGCATGCCTGCTTGAATTCTTCCCTCTCTTCTGTCCTGTCTGCTCATCAGCATTGCTCAGAGCTATTGCTACTTTCATCCCAGGAGCTGAGGAAGAAAGAAGTGAATTTCTGGCATGTTTCTCTATCTCTTGAGGAAGGACAGAGTTTATACAGCAGGGAAATGAAATAGGCTGCTGGGTTTTATGGTGATTGCCTCTCCGTTTGTGATGTCCCAGTTTCTATGTGGTACAGAAGCAGTACATGCTCTGTATCACAAGACAGAAGAGAGCCACCGTTTTGTACTCCAGCCCTCCTCTGTCACTGCCTGCTCTCCTGGATCTGCACGTGCCGCTCCAAAAGTCCACTCGACCCACTATTTGACAGGCATGCTGTAGTTATGCATTGCATCCTTTCCACTGAGGATGTCATTGGTGAACTGCTTCTTGACTTAGAGCAGCTACAGAGATACAGAACCTTCCATCTCCCTTTGGGATAGACAAGTATCCAGGGAGAAGCCCTCCAGGCTGAGATGTACAGCAGCACAAATCTTGCCATCCTTCCAAATAAATTTTTATGAATGAGTAAAAGCTTTTCTGCATGCATTTATCTGCTTCTCCAGCATCCTTAATCTGTACATATTTCTTGCTTAAGTCAGACTCTTTCTTGCAGAGGTGATAAATTCCATGTGGTGACATATGTGCCTGTGAAAGTAGCCTGATATTACAGGAAAATGATCAGGTTTCCCAGGTAAAGCCCCTACAACAGCAGCGGGTGACACATCAACAGCTCAAAACTGAGGTGATTAAAAAGGAAGCAAGAGAGTCTGTTACGAGCCCAGGCAGACTTATCCTCTTTTTTTGGTGGGGCTTAGCACGTTGCTCGGTACTTACCAATTTTGTTTTTCCCTTCTTCGTATTTCACTCTTTGTAAAATATGGTGTACAATTCTGCTTCTTGTAGCATTATTGAAGAAAGTATCTTTGTTGTGTATGATGAAGCTGTATAAAAATACAAACAAAGGGCACCTCAGGAATATACAGTAACATGTTTAACGCAAATATTGAGTTCCATTACTTTCTATAGCACTCTAAAAACCTACAGTATGTGAGCAAGTGCAAGAAATATTAAAGGACACCAAATTAAGTGAGATGATTCACCGGATCAGATGATGTCAGTAACAGTATTCATTCCCTAACAAAGAATTACATGGAGAAGTCAGGAGAAAGATCAAAGATACTTAAGCATTCATTATGATAAGCATCACTTTCAGATAATTCACTGAAAACTATAAAATACTTGCACAAAAATTTGCGTAAGTGTAAGATTTGTAAGTGCAGCTGTAGAAATTCACATTTGATTTCTCTTGCAGGCTTCTTTATGATGCTTTACCATTAAGAGTCAGATGGAAATATGTAGTTGGCAAACCACTCCTACTGAAAATCAAATACTATGTTAGAAATAGAAAATATATACCCCTATGTTTGGTCCTGGAAGCTAAAATAGAGTAGAAAATTAGCTTTCAGAACCTACTTATGGAGTTATGTATGAATGCAGGTCCAATAGTTTAGGCAGAATTGTGATGAGTCCAGGAAATTTAAAAAAAAAAAGCCACAAAATATATTGCATTGATTAGATTGGCTGGCATAATGTATTTTATATATATTTCTTAATCCCAATATATATATGTAAGGAGAACAAGATCATAGAATCATAGAATTGTCTAGGTTGGAGGGGACTTTTAAGATTACCATGTCCAACCATCAACCTAACACTGCCAAAACCACCACTAAATCATGTCCCTAAGCACCACGATTACCATCTTCTAAATACCTCCAGGAACGGCGATTCCATCATTTCACTGGGCAGCCTGTTCCAATGTTTGATAACCTTTTTGGTGAAGAAATTTTTCCTAATATCCAATCTAAACCTCCCCTGGTGTAACTTGAGGCCATTTCCTCTTGTTCTATTGCTTGTTACTTGAGAGAAGAGACTGACCCTCACCTCTCTACAACCTTCTTTCAGGTAGTTGTAGAAAGAGATAAGGTCTCCCCCCTGAACCTCCTTTTCTCCAAACTAGACAACTCAGCTGCTCCTCATAGGACTTGTTCTCTAGACCCCTCACCACCTTCGTTGCCCTTCTCTGGACTCGGTCCAGAATCTTAATGTCTAAACACAGTATTCGAGGTGGGGCCTCACCAGTGCTGAGTACTGGGGGGACAATCACTTCTTTAGTCCTGCTCACCACATTATTCCTGATACAGGCCAGGACGCTGCTGCTTGAGGTGTGCAGGGCTTCAGGACAGACTATGAAAGTCATTTAGACACTTCAGTAACCAGGTAAGTGGATGGAGTTTCTGATTAAGTAGGACTGTGCATATATTGAGGAAACGACAATATTTTTTTAAAATGTGGTCCTTAGTAACCGACTGAATAGAAAGTTTCATATCTTTTAAAATACTTTGGATAGGAGGTAAGATTGTTTGCCTCCTCTGTGTTGGTGAAGAGCTAGGGAATTTAATAAACTAACAAATAAAATGGTAAAGTCACAGAGATGTCATAGAGAAACCAGCCAGTAGGACAACGCACCGGACAAAACTGACTTCAACAGAGATCATCTTAATAGGGAGCTTGGCATGCATATATGCGCCAACTTCTCTTCTGCACAATCTGGGATCCACTGCTCAGTTTTCCCTTCAGGTAAATTTACCAAAATGAAAACCTGCCTTTTCAGAAGGAATCTTTACCCATGGGAAATCATACATGACTTTGCACCTTCACAGTCATTTGGAAAAACAGGCAAGGAGTCCAACTTCTGGACTTTGGGGACTTCATATGCCTCCTCTTTATTATCAAAATTCTCTGCTGAATTTTCCATACAAGACAATCTGTAAGTTCCTTATGTTCAGCTTCAAAGGCAGATAATAATAAAAAAAATACCAAAGTAAAGGTATAAAAGCCAAATTGTTCCAAGAGCACCATAATTAAGGAAACCTGGTTTTCTAGAGGTTGCTATCTCATGTCTCCTTTCCCACTCCACCCCAGTTACTCACAGGTCATTTCTGTGTCCACGGTCTACTCAGTACTGTACTTCTGGCTTCCTCCCACATCCCTGCTATTCCCAAAGTCCTACACGCGCGCTACAGTACCTAATGAAAGTAATTTGATTTATGCATATTGGCTGACCACCATGTGCATGCTGATTTACCAATGGACTGCTACCAGACAGCATATACAATTGGTGTGCACTGGCCACTGCCTGTTCTGTATAGGCACAATTTTGGGCCACTATTCCATTTCAAGCTGCTGATACTCACAAAGTAGATAAGACTGTGATTAACTTTGAGATAACTACACCTGTACCAAACTTAGTTGAAAGTAATCCGTATGTGAAATAATAATCTTTAGAAGGCCTTTGACAAAAAGGAAATACCGTCATCTCGTAAGTTTCAATGCTTAAGGAAATTAGATATAAAACCAATCTAAACTCTGAAGCAGATAGAACAGCATAATTTCCAGCTGCAGCTGGCGCTCTGTATTAGGCCATTTTAGTAGCAGCAGAAACAAATTAAAAGACTGTAGTAAACCAGAAATGCACAGTTAGTGTTCTTCCCACTTTGTTTCATTTTCTTCTAATGTCTGACTTTCATCTCCGAGATCTCACCTCCAAGACAGTATTGAATGTTAAGGAACTGCGAAGATAACTTATGAAATCAAAACAGCACAGTAATTTTCATTCTGACTTAGCTTTGAGTTCTTGTAGGATTCTATTGAGAATTGAATCACCTTACCTGGGAAACTAGCAACATTGATCCAGGTAACACCAAAAATGTTAATTTATTCTCCTTGTGATAGGAGGTTATTTTGCCCATCTGTTATCATGACTGCAACTACAGGTAGTTATTTCAATAACTTTTTTAGACAAGTAGGTTAATAGTTTTTCTGCATTTAGTCACTTCTATTTTCATGAGTCATGAATGAAAAAAAGGCATTACGCGATCTTAAAAAGAAATAAGAACTAGTTGTTTAAACAAACACTTTAGTCATTTGCATTCATTTGTAAACTTAGCAATGGTGGTGGTATACTTTTTGATCTCATGTGGCTGAGAAGGAACAACCAGATGCATCTGTGAAGCAGATGTCAACACCTTAGTATAATAACTGCCCTGAAGAACTCTGCCTATTCCAGAGCTAACTGTAGCAGTAACATGTGCGAGTATGAGAGCTGCAGACGTTTTGCCCTTCCCATCCTTGTGCCAGTAAAAGGCATTTGAGGGCAGGATGGGCAGAGGAGAGGGAGAACTCACCATGAATAGAGTGGGCCAAGAACATATCCTTCAGTGTTTTCCAATATTACTTATGGAGACATGGATGCAGAAGAGATGCTAGAATTCACCAAAGGTGAAAAAGGAGTGCCAAAATGAGTTCTCTGGATGTCCTGGACTATCCCCAACAATATCTTTGTTTTGGGGTGGAACTGTATGGGGTAAAGGTTAAAAATAATCCTCACCAATTTTGAATATAAAAATCAGAGAGTCTTTTTCTTGTGTTTAACTCAAGTACTCAGATAATCTCTGTGAAAATTGTCTGTAGAATAGCCCCAGAAAGAGCAGTATCACCATAACCAAGGGGGTAGGGAGCTCTGGCACAGGAAATAAAAAAAGGGAGACATGAGTGGGAGGCATTGAAAGGTTGAGAATGTCACAAGTAGCTGCAACTATGTGTTACAACATCCCACTTAGAGGTTGGAATAAATTAGGACAATGCCAGGAAGGTTTCAGTTTATCTCCAAAATCACAGAAGTTGCTCTTGTCAGGTGAGAATCATGTAGTTTAGTGCAGGACTTATCCCTCTCTACCACCACCCTTCTCTCCCACACTTTATGGGCATTTCTTTCTCCAAAATTTTTGTGCTCCAGGTTGTCTTCTTTCTGAATGTGGGCGGTAAATCCATATTCACAGAATAGCCATCAAGGCTATTTCACGTTCTACAGCATCCAATGAGGAATTCAGAAGAGGAAGACTTTCTCAATCTATGGAGAATCTCACCCTTCAAATTTCAGTTCACAGGGGCCAGAGCTGAAGACATTTCCAAACTAGGTGTAGATAAACATTCACCAGACACTACTGAGCTGTAAACTGCACAAGGCAGAGGCTTTCCAGAGAGCTTTTTAACCCTTGTTGCTTTCAGATGGAACAGGTTCCTCAGCTGTTCTGTTTCTGCTGCCCTCCTTAGAATTTCAATATGCACAAGGCACTGAATATTCATAAGAGCAATACAGCTTGTTTTCAGGCTCACTAAGTGTTCAGGCTTTATTTACGAGACAGTTCAGTTGAAGGTTTTGATCACTTTGTCACCTCATTTGTAAGATAAAAAATAACTAAGGATTAATCCACTGTTATTTTTATTACCTGTGAAGTTAATGTATAGGTAGATAATAAAGCCAGTGATTTGTTCCACAACAGTTATAACCATTAGCCTGGTCCTGTAAGTCTTATTTGTGTGAGCTGTCCTTACTCAAAAGGAAAATCCCAATGAAGATAATGAGAGCACTTCTGGCAGGAAAGGTTCTAGAGTTGATCTTTAATTAAAGTCCCTTTTAAAAATGTCATTGTGGAAATATTGCTCTTGCATTCACACTGTAAGCGACATGAAGAGTCAGTGAAGGTTAATTGCTTTGAAATTATATTTGTAGCTTTCTTAATTAGACTCTGAACTGGAGATTTCGAACTATCTTTCCAGGGATAACAAAGCACAGCAAAACTAACTGTTGTCTAAAGAAGGCCCTGCAATTAATGTAAATTCCCGTTCATACATTCTCTTTGGTAATTTTGGAGGTTGTACAAACCCTTTTGGTGTAAATTTAGTGCTTGAACCTTTACCTAACACCTATTTGAAAAAAATGGGTTTACTTTTCAATTTATTTTGGAGAAGCAAAAGGCAGGAAAAGGCTATTTTCTGCTGTACTGGTAAGATATACAAGCTGAAAGCTGAACACCCATGGTCTGGTTATAAAGCTACAAAGTGAGGTTGTGTGCAGGCACGTATCAATGTGCATCTTTGCTCCACAGGATCCTCAGACACCGAAACATTAAATGGCTGACACTCACCATACAAAAAGGTATGTTCCAAGCAAATGTCTCTTGCTGGAAGCAGTACAAACTGAAAGCACAGATGTTATCTGAAGTAGTAATCACTATAGGAGAATTGTATTCTTCAGTGCAGGAAAAATGCTTAACCCTCTGCACTCACAGGTAAACCACTAGTGGTAGATAGCTATCGTTGGCTAAGGCACCATCAGGTTTTTACCTCATTTAACATCAGAGAAAGAAAATCATCAGCTGTAGTAGCAGCAGCAACAACATGAGCCTGCAGTATTCCAGTGAGAATATTACCACACATCCCTGCAGTCTATTTGTTTGAAAATGGGTGTATTATTATCACTTTCTATTTATTTTAATTTTGCCTGACTTTTAAGGCCACAGCTGACTTTTTTGTTTATCTAAAAGAAAGTGTTTATTAATGGTTATTGGGGATTTTTCACATCATGTACCTAAAACAGGATCACTTTGGGATGAAGAACATATTAGTGGTCTTGTCTGTTTCAGATTTGGCACATCACAGCCTCAAAACTGCTAAAGTAAAATAGAGTCGTGAAAGTACTGAATCTCTCCTCTACCTTTTTCTGCCCTTCCCCCCAAATCACCCTGCCACTTGAAAAACTTCTTAATTTTAAATTGGTTCACGCAGGAATATTCATCTGAGATAAAATGAGCTTTAGGTATTTTTCAGTGATGTCCTGCTTCATTCAGTGTGCCAGGCAATTAAAATTTCCAGAATCAGAGAGAATTTACAAAACCCATTACAGGGTGTTTCCGAGTTTGGTTGCACAAAGATTTGTTTAAGAGCAGGTATCTTACAGAACTGTGATTCCCTGTTTATAAAAAGTCATTTACAAATGTATAGTTATACGGTAGATATATTCAAACACAAGTATGACCATCTTGGTTCAAAAAAAGTAACTGACCATGCAGCCCTGTTCCTCATCTCCAGTGATAGCAGCTCCCTGACCCATCCATGATCTTGGGGTGCAGCAGCTCACGGAGACATGGGCACAGATCATCTTGGTAGGGATGGGATTTATTAGGGATAATCTGAGCACAAGAGAAAGCTTAAAATGTAACTCCACCCCAAGAGACACATATCTTGGAAATCTGACAGGATGAGATCCTCATGTACCACAAGGGGACACAGTACAAATGAGAATAACCCCATTAACCTCTGGTATACAGGGTCATTTTTGTTTAATTAATCCAGATACTGTCCTAGTCCTCCTAATTGTGTAAATTTTAAATCTAATTTTTACAGAAGAGATAAATATTTATTTTTGAGTGGTTTATTCAATTACGTATTAATATATAACCAGAAAGTTTATTGACTTTGGAAGAAAAAAAAAGGGGGAAATAGCTCCTTATATAGAGTTTGAAATGTCTAAACAGTAATTAAAAGCATTTTCCCAGCTAGTATACAGCTATCTAAGAAATTGCAGCTAATTACTACTGTTACTATTCCCAGCTGACTAGCAGTTTACTATCTAAAATAACTAATGTGTTCACTTATTGTGAACTGTGCATTCTTGTAACTGATAATTTTCAGAAATGCTTTGGCGTATATAAAGCCCTTCCCAAGTTGTGGCTGCAGAAGAGAGATACTACTCAGAAGTCTATCTTGAAAATTATCATTCTGTATTCCACACAATTCCAACAAAATGCTTGCCTCAGCCAGGCAGACCTTTTTTTCCTCCAAAAAGAGATTTCCTATTACTTAGGAAATAAGATGAATTTTGGTCTTCTCTTGTACTGACAATTTTGTGATATACCCTATAAGGTATGCCGTAATCCCTTTAAAAGAAAATCTGAAGCCATGCTGCAAAAGTTATAGGCACGTCTCACAAATGCGATTCTTGCAATTTTCTTCTTTGCCTGTTTTGGAGGGAGGGCAGATGGTTAGCTGTGTCTCAAATGAATGAAACAAATGAAGTTTTTTTTCTGAAAGCTAGCCTTTCTCCACATCTGCCCTTTTCCATCTGAATGGGAAAGAAAAATGCAAGAAAGAAAAAGAACTTCAACACGATCTACTAAAATTGCACACGTTCATTGTACATCAGTATTTCAAAAATACAAATTCCTATTGAAAAAAGGCCTGATCAGGCCTTGCTGGTTTTGGTCTTAACTACTTTCCTTTCCAGACTCCACATTGTAAGCATTGTCAGTCATCTGTCTTTCCATGCTTTTAAAAGTGGCTATCACAAATGAAGACTGTATACCAAGACCATGTTTCAGACATCATCTGTATCACACTGGAGACCTAAATAGGAAAACCACGGCTAGATCAAAAAAGATAAACTGCCCATTATTTGCTGAGGTGAAAACATCTGAGGCCATGAAGAAAGGAAAAAATAATGAATTCAATACAAGTGTGGGTTTTTTTAAAATCATTTTATATTCAATTAGTAACTTTTTTACTAGTTAAAAAGCAAGTAAAAGCTTATGTTACTGCAACAGCAATAACTGAAAACTGACGCTTTAATGTAATATGGAGGCAGGATTTTATCAACTCTGGAGCGTTTCTATTACTGTTCTGAATAGGCGACAATTATCAGTGCTGCCCTTGGGAAGGGCAGTGGGTAGAGGTGAAAAAGAAATAATTTTATCAGTGATCAAGCCTTCATCTGGCACAGCTGATTCAGACTAATGAAAGTGCCAATCACAGTAATGCTACATCAGTTAACATGTGTTGGGATAAACACAAATAAAAAAATCCATTTCTACTAATACTTTCC